GAATAAATAATATTAATAAAATAGAACTTTACAAAATAGGAACAAAACATCCGTGTTTATTAATTTTTTTTATGATGTTAGAAACTTTAAGTTATATTAAAATAATAGTAATGGTAACTTGTGTTTTAGAGACACAAATTAAAAAACAAATTTATAAAAAATTTATATTGGAAACATTAATAAAAAATAATTTTTTTATTTTTATTAAAAACAGGGCACAATTTCTAAAATATTATTTTTACTTTTAGTTTTTAACTTGTGTTTTAGGGACACAAATTAGTATTATCCTTAAAATAGTAATTAAGTAAAATATGTGATGATGTACTAAAAATCACATGCACATGGTAATAAATAGGTATGTAAATTTATTCCTACTTTATAGTTCTAGAAAAGAAGCTTAAACATACTCTTATATGAAGCATTGACTTTACATTTTTTGTTAAAAATAATTGAGGCCCTAGGCAATTTTGTCTAGCTTGCCTCCCCCTCAGCTCTGGTCGGGGCTGGGTAGCACATAAGTGACTTTATATCAAAAGTACATGCTGTTAAAATTTCGAAATGATCTTCGGTCTGAAGGTGAATTTCTTTAAAAGTAAGCTATACGATGTTAACATTTCAGATTCTTTTCTTGAAGCAGTTGCTGATTTTCTCAATTGTTGTGCGATTGAAATTTCTTTCAGGTTTCTCAGTATCTCGGTTGGATCAAATCCCATAAGGAGTTCCTCGTGGAAAGGTAAGCTTCTTTCCATTCGTGCTAGAATTGCGCTTCTTAACTCGACTTTAAATAGTATCCCCATATACATGTCATCTTTTTATAAAGCGCCTACGACGAAATTCTATCTCTCTATTCAATCGAGATTCTTATGGCAAGGAGAAGCTGATAAAAGAGGGATCTCTTGGGTCAGTTGGGAATCAGTTTGCAAACTGAAAGAAGAAGGCATATTGGGTGTAAAGGACATCTCTTTATTTAATGAGACCCTTCTCTCTAAATAGAAATGGAGGTTCATTCACGATCGGGAGGAGATTTAGAAATGCATCCCAGAGTTTAGATATGGTAATCTTCTAGATCATATTTTATGTCCTTTTCAAACTTTTTCTTCGAAGTCCTCCTCCATGTGATGGAGGTACTTATTCTTGGCGGGAATCAAAGTTTCCAATAATAAAAATTGGTTTGAGGAGTCTATTATCTGCAAATTGGGTCGTGGGGGTAGGTTGTCCTTTTGGTGGAACAACTGGTGCGGAGTCAAGGCCTTGGGAAATAAATATCTTGAGCTTTTAATCGGAACATCAATTTCAGTCCCAATTTGTGGTTTTGGCAGTTGGGATCTAAATGTTTGGCATTTGAATTGGTCTTATTTTTATGCTGTAGGTCTTAGCAACTTGTCTCAATTATCGAGGTTGTAGGCAGATCTACTCGTCCTAGCCCCCCACATCGAGATTGTAGACTATTTTCTATGGAAGAGCGATCCATCAAGAATTTTTTGTGTCAAATCTTGTTATTCCCTCCTTTTAAAGGCGCAGACTGTTGGTAGGGGAGATTGCGACAACAACCCACATTTGAGGTCTCTTTGGAATACGAAGGCTCCGTCTAAAATTCTTACCTTTGGTTGGCAGGTATTTCTTGACAAACTTCCTTCGAAAGAGGAGTTAGACAAGAGGGGAATCTTACATTCTCCCATTGATTTGATGTGTGTCTTATGCTTAGATTTGAAGGATATCATCTCCTATTCTCTTGTCCTTTTGCAGTAAATCTGTGGAAAGTAATTGAAGGTTGGCTAGAGATGAAACATATTATTGAAGACTTAATCATTAATCATGCAGAATAATTTCTTGTTAACATGAATGGTAAAGCAATCAACAACAAGAAGATGTTAGTTTGGCTTGCAACTTATTGGTGCTTGTGGCTCCGGAGAAACAACGTCATCTTCAAAAACAATCCAGTGAATAGGGGTATTGAAAAAACAACATACTACATTAAATTTTTTCGTGAAACTGGATTGTAATAGATTTGAAGAGTAGATCGGTTTTGTTTTTCTATAATTGGTGGAGAAATCCCATTGAATATCTCAAATTACGCTAATTTTGTATTTTGCTTGAGCATAATTTATGCTTCTTTTCAATCAAATTGCTTATTGAAAAGATATTTTTGTCTCAAATAATCACCATGGTGTTGAGAATTATCCCTTAGGTGCATATATGTGTTCCATCTATTGCACCAACAAAGATATAACACATACACAATATTATATTTTAATATGTAAATTGAGTTTATAACTTATTCGTCCACACTAGACCATCTGGTAAATCGTATGCCTCATTCTCTTTCAAACATATCAAATAAGGTAAACAATGTTTGAGGATCCATTCTTATTATATTTGTATTAGTTTCACTTTTTACTTATTAAATATATCATTTCTTCTAGAGAAATAGACCTCAAAATCACAAGTGATTTAGAGAAAATATTCATAACTTTTAGGCAGCGGAGATAGGTGATGTGTCAGCAGAGTAGAGGCGACAATAGTGGACATATGAGATCTAATTCACAGAGTGGGCGACAGGATGGACGGGTGGGACCATTGTGTTAGGCTCGATTAGAGCCAACAAAACGATTTCTCTAGGTTACAAACCTTTATAAATGATGCTCTCTCTTACTTTTATAGTATGAATGGTGAAATCCTATTGAGGGAAATTTAGAGAGAAAAATGGAAGAGTTCTTAGGATTTATTATTTTAAAAATGGAAAGATCTTTAAGGATTTTTAAAGGTATTGAGAAATACTTATAAACACCTTGAATTTGTGTGATTCATATACTGCGATGAAGAGAGTTTCAAAAACACTTAAGTAGAAAATAAAATATGTTTTTATGAACTTTGAAGAATGTATTATTGTAACTCATCTTGTAATATCTTATATCAAATTTTGAAGTATAGTGGATCAAAGAGATTATCTCTCCCATAAAGTAGGCCATTTTAATCGAACTGGGTAAACACATTTTTTGTGTACTTGTTTTTTATTTTATTCTTGTTATTGTTGTTTTCTTTCACAATTTTGCATATTTGTTTTGTTTGAGAAAATTTATCTTGGTTGTCGGTAGTTTGTCCCACACATCAACATTATTGATGTGATTAATTATATCAAATTTTCATATTAAGTGGCACTCACCATAGGGAAAGGGGTTAAGTTTACAACTAAGTACCATGAATCGAAATGAGACATCGAGAAGTTTTTTCGGACATCAAAGGTATATAAAAACATTTGAGGGTGTCTCATTAATGCTTGCATGCCTAAAACAAGTAAACATTTGAGTTTGACGCTTCTTTCTCCTTTGAGGATTCTGCTATTTTGAAGCCACATATCTTCGTGATACTGTAAACTTGGGAACGACAACTTGCATTCTCTTCAAAAGGGCTTCATGCGCGGCGTTTCCCCTTAGAGGCGCGTTGTGTAGGCTTTCCTTAAGACGAAGTAACCTTCCCTCTATGACTTGTCATGTCTATTTCAAAGGATGTTATAAATGTTGCTTAGTAATTCATTAGCACCTTGTATCCCAATATTAGCTCGCAACAGTTGTAAATCAGGCAATATTTTAGGTTGTGACATTGGCGATGGTACTAGAGGCCTGAGTGGGGGTATTAGAGCAGATCCTAGGATTTGAAGAGATTGGAGTAGGTCTGAATGCAATGTAGTGTTTACTATAACTTGATTAGAAATACCTTGAGAAGGAGAAAGTGGAGGTTGTGTTATCTTCGTTTGAGCGGCATCTGCTTTGCACAGGGCGGCATAACGGGTAGTGTTAAACCCAGACATTGTTGAAAGGCTCGGAAGTAAGAGATTTGAAAAATCAAGAAATCGATGTTGATTCGTTATTTGACTAGGTCGAATGCGATGTATCTAGTGTTCGATTTCGAGAACTCTGATATGATTAATGGAAGAATTTTCGAATCGGCTGATCAAATTGAGAATGCAAGATTGTGGAAAACACCAGAATCAGAAGTCAATTCTCATAGAGTATGTCACTGTTCCATTACGGAACCAAAATTGGTTGACGAATCGGTGATTGTAGAGGACAATAATGGATTTGAACTTCTAATGCGGAATAGAGGGACTGACCTACAAAGCTTGCACTCCAACGTTTAAGTCATTGTGTGGAGGAGAATAGCAAATTAAATTTGAATTTGAAATCGTGTATATGAATCCTTCGCGTATTCCTTTATATAGTAAGTTAGTTATAACAACTTGTTATTGGTTAGACGTGTGATGTGGGAAGCCATTAGATATATCTTGAATCCGGATTACCATAATCTTCCTTAGGATAGTCCTCTTGCGCCGCGAGCAATTTAGACAAATAATTATTCACTTTGAGTGGTCCGTCAGATGTTTATTCTGGCACCGATAAATGATTTATTTATTTTAAAATGAGGTTAAAGGTTTAACCCAATTACTTAAAATGAGTTTTAAGAAATGTTTTGGCAGAACAAGACATGTGCAAAATAGTTTAAGAGTATAAAATATAAGATGATAACCCGAAAATGATATTGAGCAATCAAATCAAGTACCTAACCAACAACCTTTAGCTCAAAAATCCACCACATTAAGATAGAAATGAGATTATGACACAAACACCTTTACTTCCTTTTCCCTTTTTCTCCTTCTTCCATCCCCTTTCATAGTAATCATGATTCCCCTACACTTTCTCTCTTACAAAACACTCAACACTATTTTCACAACAAAACAAAACTCTCTCTCTCTTACTCTCTTTTGTTGTTTTATAAACATTAAATGCTTTTGATTCTCCCTCTTTCTCTGCGCATGTAAAATCTTTGTTTCCATCAGAAAGTGGTGCAGAAAGCTGTGTCTCAGATCCCTATAATACACACAGCACAGACACTGATAATAACGATACAGCCATGTCTGTTTCATAATTCATACATACTTCTAGAGTGGTCCATAACCTCATCCCTCTTTCCTCTATAATACTCTACTACCTTATCTTGTGTGGATGATGCAAGAACCAACCTTAGGTATGATGCAAGGTGGTGGTGCTTACGGTGGAGACGGTGGTGGTGGTGGTGGTGAAAACCGACAACTCAAGGCGGAGATAGCAACACATCCTTTATACGAACAGCTTCTGTCTGCACATGTGGCTTGTCTCCGAGTTGCAACTCCTATAGATCAGTTACCATTGATTGATGCACAGTTATCTCAATCTCATCATCTTCTACGATCTTATATCTCTCAACAAACTCATTCTCTTTCACCTCATGATCGTCAACAACTCGACAACTTCCTCGTATGTGTTTCTCTTACTACCTTTTTGTCATGTAATTTTTTGTGCAATTTAATGAATATGTTATGTGTTGTGTATCTGCAGGCACAATATTTGATAGTTTTGTGTAGTTTCAAAGAACAGCTTCAACAACATGTTAGAGTTCATGCTGTTGAGGCTGTTATGGCTTGCCGTGATATTGAAAGTACCTTACAAGCTCTCACTGGTATCTACACTACAACTTTTTCTTTATTCATAGTTTAAATTCCATTAATATTCATCATCATCAAAGGCGTTGGCGCACCCATATCTTTAAGCAAACACATGTCTCCGATATGTCAATATGTTTATGTCTCACATATGTGATAGCGTTCAATTTATTTATTTATTTTATATTACTACTGTTATTGATATATCAGTATCTGCATCGGTGATTCAATTTATTTATTTATTTTATATTATTACTGTTATTGATATATCAGTATCGTGTCTTTTATGTGTTTTAATTTTGTATATTTAATTAATCATCCATTGTTTTGGTTTGGTGGGTTAGACATTTGAATGAAAGAAGCTACAAATATATATAATTATATCGTTAAAAAGCAAATATTGGTGGCTTTAGGCTTATCTGAAGAGAGTGGGGGTGCGGTAGGGTAGGGTAGGGTAGGGTCTACTAATAAATTATTTAGTTACATGGCAACCAATTTGGAGGAGTTTAGTTTGGTAAGGAATGATAGTCGCTCCAACCATGAATTAAAACTGCCAACAACCAAATTATAATTTTCTGAAACTCACACAGATTCAAAACCCAAGTTAAATATTCAGCGTAATAATATCGGTATTTGTCGGTTAAACGGATCCATTATTGTTAAACAAAAAAACATGATGAGAGTGATTAAGACTGTTAAAACAGTAAAATAGTGGGAGACATTTGGAAATGTTGATTTGGTTCTCATGAGATTTCCTGTTAGGCTTTCTGTTACACTTCTGATTTCAGGACACACAGACATATACACCCTTTTACTGTTGGCTATGTTTGATTTCCTTTTTTCTTCTCTAAAAGTGTGTTCCATTTGGTGTTGAGTTTTCGAAATCTAGTTTTTGCTAAAAATATGTGATTACGCTAAATTCATTGGCTATTCTAAACATGCACATGCACTTAATACTTCTTCCGTCGTGACATGGAATTAACTTTTTATACTATATTATAAAATTTAAGGTTTTTTTTGGTTCTTGTTATTATTTCATTTTCGTTCATTCATTAAGATGTACTAGTATTCATAACTATTAAGTAGGATGAACAAGACATTTAACTGTCCCTTTTGGACATGTATAAATTATATAATAACACAAACTTTTTAGACAAAATAATTATTTTAGTTGAGCTGGTCAATGATGTTTGATTCATAAAAAAAAACATGCATATGATTGGTGTCCATCATTGATGTTGTTGCAACTAAATTGTATGCATTTCCTTTATGTATGATAAAGACATGTCTTATGTTTTGTCCTAATTTTGAGACCTGTCATCATGTATCCACTAACATAAGGGGGTCCTAAGTAACAACATTGCTCACACAATGTCTCAAAATTTCAAAATGAAAACATGATAATGTCTCGTTTTTTCTTCGCATTTTATTATTGATAAATTATTAGCCACTTTAAGATATTGGTAAAAAAAATTTAAATTGATGTGTCCGGTCTTTTTTAGATTGATCTTCAAATTTTTTATTTGATATTTTCGTGTATGCATCGTGTTGTATACATGGTTGAGGTGGAACTATAAATATACGTATTGATTCCAGGAGTGAGTTTGGGAGAAGGAAGCGGCGCAACAATGTCTGACGATGAAGATGAACAATTGCAATTGGATTATTGTTTAGAAAATCAATCTAGTGGTGGTGGTGATGACATGATGGGACTTGGTCCATTACTTCCTACTGAATCTGAAAGGTCACTCATGGAAAGAGTTCGTCAAGAACTCAAAATTGAGCTCAAACAGGTTTTGTCTTTTAATTACTCCGAATTTCTATAGCACTGACATATCTAAACAAAAGTGTGTTTTATATCTGACATATCTGTGCCAGTGCTTCATAACTACAAACTCTTAATTAATAATGAACTAATTAAGCATTAATTTATAGGGTTTTAAGTCTCGAATTGAAGATGTAAGAGAAGAAATATTAAGGAAAAGAAGAGCTGGAAAATTACCGGGTGACACAACTTCTGTCTTGAAGAATTGGTGGCAGCAACATGCAAAGTGGCCTTATCCAACTGTAAGTTAATTTCCTTTCTATTTATATATGCAATAATAATGAAACACAGACACGAAATTAGACACGGACGCTGACAGTGACACAGATAAAGGTTAATGTTATGGTTTATGCAGGAAGATGATAAAGCAAAACTTGTGGAAGAAACAGGATTGCAACTGAAGCAAATAAACAATTGGTTCATAAACCAAAGGAAAAGAAATTGGCATAGCAATTCTCAATCTGTTACCTCTTTGAAATCCAAACGCAAGAGGTAGTTACTAACTACAACAAGTAAACACAATTATAATATGAACGAATTACTTTATGGTTAATGGTGATAGAGTACTATAGACCCTCCATTGAGATGGATCAGGAGATAATAGTAGTTATTTTGGTTAATTGGTTTACTAAAAAAAAATGTACTTATGATGTAGCTTAATTTCAAAAGAGTTGTGTGGTTGTAAATTTGTGGAATTACATGTATGACTTGTTTTGCATGTGGTAAGGTTGTTTTGTCTCTTTCCTTAAAATTGTCTTTGTAAATGGTTTGTTACGTTCTGACCAGCTCATAGATTATTACTATGATACAAACACCACAAGTTTGAAAGATTCACGTTTCTTTATACAATTTCTTTGTCATAGAATGAGTTGTATTTTTTTTTATTATATAATAATATAATAAAAGAAGAAAACAAGATTGATATTTTTCTATGTCATGAAATTCTATATGAAATCGATTTTGATAGAATAAGATTCAAGATTTTTGTTCTTCACTGTTCATTTGAGTGATTCAACCACAACTTTCTTGCAAGAGTTTTCCTCGCACAAAAATTTGAACAGGGAGATAATTTTAGAGAGAAAAAAGAAGAGAGAGAAAATTTAAGTTTTGGGAGAAGAGAAGAAGAATGTATTGAATTGAATTGACTTAAAAAGTTACAAGTATAAAGACTCTTCCTATTTGTAATGAGATTACTTGCACATCAAGTAGTTCTCAAATTATCTCCCTTCGACTTATTACAACATGTATTCGACTACCTATCGAAAACACAAAGCTTCGACTTCTATTTATTGTATTCGACATAATGTCGAATACATGTTGCTTCAACTTAGTCGAATCCTGCATCTTATAACCATGTTTAACACACAAAAATTACATATTTAACACACCACTTAATTCATTGTGTCTAAACTATCTACATTCATCATTGTTCTCAATTTCTTGAACAATTCTAGCTGCACAACCTTTGTCATAATGTCTGCAATCTAACTCTCAATTCTGCAGTGTTCTAAGTTCAGTTTTTCATTTGCTACTTCTTCTCTAAGATAATGGAATCTCATTTCAATGTGTTTACTTCTTTCATGTGCTATCGGACTCTTGGCCAAATTGATAGAAGACATGTTATCAATCTTCATGATTATCGCTCCATGATTTTCACCTGGAATCTCTTCAATCAAATTTACCATCTATGTTGCTTAACATACACAAAGAGAGGCAACTATGTGTCGCTACTGCGAAAAAAGGTGCCGACAAAGACAGAAGAGTCGTCACCTATCGTTATTTATCCCAAAAGAGGGAAAGGAAACGATCAGGAAAAACCTAGAGAAAAGGGATAAGACCGGTCGTCGCAACCAAATCTCGGGTTCGGGAGTCGATTACGCAAGGGGAAGGTATTAGCATCCCTCACGTCCGTTGTACTCAACGGGATCCGTGCTTATGTTGTTTATCTAAAAGGGTTGTTTGTCTATCTAACTAAGAGGTCTGGGTTAAGAGAAAAGAAAAGAGAAAAAGGAAAAGGACTCGACAGAGCGTCGCTGCTTTGAGCCTACGTATTCCCTCGTGCAATGGGAAAGTCAGAGTCAACGTAGTTCGACTAACTACGGGTAATGGGGGAAGGTTGCTCACCAAGACATCGCGTCTTGTGCCTACGTACTCTCGTCAGGTATGAGAGATCAGAGCGAACGTAGTTCGGGATAAAACGGAACACAGGTTTGTTCAACTGTTTTTACCCGAGTAGGGTTAACAAATAGTTCTAGCAGTTGGTGTATGCAGCTCGACCATTGGAGACTTAGGCGTTACCGTTTGCGGTAGAACTAAGAGTTAACAACACTCTTTTATCTGAAAAGTTTTTCCATTAAAGGGAGCCCCCAAAGGGGAAAATAAGGTTTGATGTGTTTTTGTCTTTTAGGAGAAGTGTTTTGAATAAATGTTTGTAATTCATACTGCACTAGAGACTATGACTTAGGAACGAATGTGTCGCATATCGTCCAAAGGACATACGCTAACACTCTAGATAATTGAGAGGCAACCACCCAATCACCATTTCCCAAGTAAGTTAAGGCTCGTAACGTACAATATTCCTTAGACTTTATTAGGTGTTTTATTGTTGTTTGAAGATGAGAAGAGAGAAATGACTCTAAAGGGGGACTAATCAAAACCCTAATTTTATCATGCAAGATGGTCATATGGTTGAGTTTAGGAAGAGAATCTATCCTATTTGTTATCATGCAAAGGATTAGAACCTAATGTCTATCATCACTATCCTTGAACAAGGAAGTGAGAGTCCTAAGGGAACATGTTAATGGGAAACAAAACAAAGCTATCAAGCATTAAACAGGTGAAATATAAATGGATGCACATGCAATGCAACAATACAAGCAAAGAGAGACAAAATCAACCTTTAAATGAAAACATATCAAGTATGAAAGGAAAACAACATCCAAGAAAAGGGAGGCAACGTCAACCTTTAGATGCAAACATGGAAATGCACAGAGAAAGCACACAAGAAAAGGGAGACAAGCTCAACCTTTAGATGCTAGCATGGAAGTGAAAAGAGAAAGTTATCAAGCCTACCCTACTTCTAATGCACAACATCACACAATCATGAGGATGAAAGGGCAAACAAGATGAGGGGAGCCAAAGTGAGAAACAACTCACTAAGTTCAATGTGCATCAACACAAGAGTCCATAAAGGTTCAACTTCTTTATGGAATGCACAGAATTCCTCCACAGGAGGAATTAGGCGCTCACAAGAAGGATCCTAAGATTGTTGGACAGATAGGAGAGGAATGAAGAGAATGATGATGGGAAGCAAAGTAAGATCCACAGGAACTTACTATGGCACTCAACCAAGTTCATCATACAAGAATAATCCTCAAAGGATCTACCACTCATGAATGCACAGAGTTCTTCCACAGGAAGAACTAGGCTCTCACAAATGGGATCCTTAAATCATAGGACAAAAGGAAGGAATGAGGAGAATCATAGTGTGAGTCAAGGGAACTCACCATGTTCAATGTGTATCAACACAAGAGTCCATCAAAGGTTCAAACTTCTTATGGAATGCACAGAATTCCTCCACATGAGGAATTAGGCTCTCACAAGAAAGATCCTAAGATTGTAGGACTAGGAAAGAAGAGAAGCATATTGAGAACCAAAGGAACTCACCATGTTCAATGTGTATCAACACAAGAGTCCATCAAAGACTCAAACTTCTTATGGAATCCACAGAATTCCTCCACATGAAGAATTAGACTCTCACAAGAAGGATCCTAATATTGTTAGACAGATAGGAGGGGAATGAAGAGAATGATGATGGGAAGCAAAGTAAGATCCACAAGAACTTACTATGGCACTCAACCAAGTTCATCATACAAGAATAGTCCTCAAAGGATCTACCACTCATGGAATGCACAGAGTTCTTCCACAGGAAGAACTAGGCTATCACAAATGGGATCCTTAAATCATAGGACAAAAATAAGGAATAAGGAGAAGCATAGTGTGAGTCAAGGGAACTCACCATGTTTAATGTGTATCAACACAAGAGTCCATCAAAGGCTCAAACTTCTTATGGAATGCACAGAATTCCTCCTGGAGGAATTAGGCTCTCACAAGAAGGATCCTAAGATTGTAGGACTTAGGTGAGGGAAAAAAAAGAGGATGAGGATGGGAAGCAAAGTAAGATCCACAAGAACTTACTATGGCACTCAACCAATCTCAAAACATTCAAAGTCCTCAATGGTTCAAATTCTTTATGGAATGCACAGAATTCCTCCACAGGAGGAATTAGGCTCTCACAAGAAGAATCCAAATATCATAGGACTTCGAAAGACTAATGGAAAGGGTCCTAAAATAAGCCTAGGTTAGGAACTAGTTAGGAACATGATTAAGACTTGTAAATGCATATACAAGTGCCTTAATATGTCTAGGATATGGATATGGGAGCATTGGATGCTCACACAATGCAAAAGGATCACATAAAGTGTAAACTAGGTCAAAGGTATGATTGGAATCACACAAGGATAAGTCAGAATGTAAAATCTACCAAAAATGGAAAAAAGAACCTAAAAATTATAATAAAATTCCTAAGGGACCCCTCTGGTCTTAGGAACCAGGGGTCCGAAGATGGGGAAAAATCGAAGTTTAGGTAGGTTAATGGAAAGCAAAACCCTAGGGTGCTCTATGGACAAGGCAAGGGAAAAGGGATCTAAAGACACTATCCAAAACCTATCTAAAAGGTATCTAAAAATAAGGAGAAAAATACTACAATACCACTTAATGTGTCAAGATTAAGCACAAAACATATCATGAGTTTATTTAGAATATTGAGCAAGCAAGAAAATCAAGAAGTGAAGACATGTACATTTTCACATTTACAAAAGCATATTAAAAGGAAAATACACAATTAAATAAAAAAGAAACAGATAATTCAATTAAAAAATATGAAAAATCAAAACACATGTCAAAGTATGCAAATGTATTTTTTTAAATGATTTTTAGAGTTATTTAACATTTTTAAATGAATTAAAATGAAAATTGAAAATAAAATGCAAATAAAAAAAGAAAATGAAATTGGAAAAAATTATGGTGCAAATAACAACTAATATGCGTGGTTTTACTGGGCTTAACGTGCAGGGGGTGGGAATAAGAGAAAAGCCCAGTCCATTTGTAAAAGTTAGCCAAGCCAAGAAAATCCAATCTCAGCCATACATTGTGATTACTAGTCAAGCATCCTAAGGCTAAGGGAATGACATGCGTGTTCAGCAATTAAACATAAAATGAAAACAAATCCTGGCCTTACAATTTGGAGACCAGTCAGGCATCAAACGGTTGTGGTGTGCGCATATGAAACGCATCGTTTCATTAAAAGGGGAGTCAACCCCTGAGAGCCAATCATGGCCACTGGATGGGAACCAAGTCATCTGATACTAGGGATAAACCAATGCCACACAATCAAAGGAAATCTAATGCAAAATAACACTTAATCTGAGCCATGAA